AGCACCGCGCGCTCACCGGGGAGGTGGAGGCGCATCGCGGGCCGGTGGGCGGCCTGCGGCGTCAGCTGGCGACACTGGGGGGCGCCAGCGGCGCCGGGCCGCTGGTGGTGGCCCTGCAGGTGCGCGTGGTGGAGGCGGAGCAGTTGTTCGCCGAGGTGACCGAGGTGGCAGCGCTGCGGCGCCAGTGGCTGCGAGACGCCCTGGCGGTCTACCGCATGTTTGGCGAAGTGCACGCGTGCGAGCTGTGGATCGGGGAGAAGGAGCAATGGCTGCTGGCCATGCGCGTGCCCGATTCGCTCGACGACGTCGAGGTCGTGCAGCACCGGTGAGCGCGCCCTTGTGGGACTTCCGGCGGCCCCTTCCTCACGCACGCAGTCTCGCCTGCCTTGGTTCAACAGTGCCCACTTTCGCTCTGCGGGCACCGGGGTTCCAGGGGAATGGGAATGATAGTAGTTCCCACCTCACGGCTGGCGCGTGATGAGTACTTGTAGAACACTTAGCAAATGTCTCGGTACAGGGAGCATTTCAGGAGCGTTTGCTGTTACCATGAGGCTTGCATTCACCTGGCGGGAAATTAACGTGAGCTTCTCCAGAGACACCCCAGCCTGGCCCCTCCCCTGGGACTGCCACAGTTCCCACACAGTTGTCACCTCCCTAGCTCATGAAATAGCTCCGACCCTGTCACTTCCTCTTCCATCATCCTCACCCTGCTTGACGTTTCTTCATAGCACTTAACCACCTGGTGACACGTGAGATGCTGACTCGTCTGTTGGCTGACTCGTCTGTTGGCTGACTTAGTAATGAGTTGTGATATTAGTGGATGAGCCCTTGTATTCATCCACTCATTCGTTCAGTTGGTAGTTACTGAGCTCTTGCTGCGTTCTAGGGCTTGTGCTGGGCATGGCTGACACACAGGCCTGGTTCCTACCCTTGCTGTGCCCACACTTACCCAAGTCACAGCTTTGGGCATTGTTTTAAAGAGGGGAGGACTGTGCCCAGCTTTAAAAAGATCTCCCTCGCTGCCATGTAGAGGGTGTGTTGGAGGGGTTGAGAATGATGGCTGGGAGCCCAGAAAGGCAGCTGGGATGCGACCCCGGGTGGGAGGGGACAGGAGTGGACCAGGCTAGGAGGCCAAGTGGAGAGGCCATGGGGGTGAGGAGTCTGGGGAGGGGCGTTGTCCAAAACAGAGCCCAGAGCTGTGGCCTCGGGGATGGTGGGGCTGCCCCTGAGATGGGGACCCAGGGGATAAACAAATCTGGGGGAAGATACCGAGGCTGGTTTGAGTCACAGTGGCTGCAGGGAGCCCTGCAGAGGTGTCCGGCAGCTTTGAGGTTGCAGACATGTTCCAAAGGAACGAAGTTGAGGCTGCAGAGACAGATGTGGGGGTCACAAGAACTGAGACCATGGGGATGGATGGGATGGCCCAGGCAGGGTGGGAGAGAACGGTAAGGGAGTTCAGGACAGAGGCTTAGGGGATGTAATGTTTAGGGGGCAGGTAGAAGGAGGAGGAGCTGGTCCACGGTCCTAAGAGTTAGAAGGAAATGCAGTTCAGAAGGCCAAGAGGTGGGCAGGTCCCCAGATCCAGGCCTGCCTGAGCACGACCATCTTCCTTCTACAGATTTGAGAGTCTGGACCAGGAGATGAACAGTCTGATGGGCCGTGTCCTGGATGTGAACCACACGGTCCAGGAGCTGGTGGAAGGAGGCCATCCCAGTTCAGACGAGGTGCGCTCCTGCCAGGACCACCTCAACTGCAGGTAGGCGGGGCCTGGGGCCTCACACCAGTCCTTACCCGTTCTTTCCATCATTCTTTTCCTCATTCATTCAACTGTCAGAAATCAAGAGTGTGCGATTTCGACCCCCTGAGGTGATAATGGCCACCTAGGAAATCAGCAGAATCTTGGGGGGAAATGATAATACCCAGTGCTAGTGATGATGTGGTAAAATGAGGATACAATATATTTTAGCGGGTTATTAGTTTACTTGTATAGAAACAATTGGCTGAGTATCTACTATCTGCCAGGAATTTTTCTAAGCACTTTATGTGCCTGGTTTTATCTTCCAATATCCCAATTTCCATAGTCAAGTTTCCAGAATTCAGAACTCTTTAAAAATGGTAACAGATTGGGGCGCCTGGCTCAGTTGTTAGGCGTCTGCCTTCGGCTCGGGTCATGATCCCAGGGTCCTGGGGTCGAGCCCCGCGTCAGGTTCCCTGCTCAATGGGAGACCTGCTTCTCCCTCTCCCACTCCCCCTGCTTGTGTTCCTTCTCTCGCTGTGTCTCTCTCTGTCGAATAAATAAAATCTTTTTAAAAAAATGCTAACAAATTAATATCTTTCCCCCTAGAACACTACCAGCTGTTCTTCCAATGAGGGTAGGGTTCATAGATGAAGACGCAGATCCAGGGAGGTGAAATCCTTAACATGATTAATCAATCCAGTAAGTAGGAGTCAAACCCAGTTCTGTCTGAATCCGGAGCTGGGGCTCTTGAGCACTTATATTGAGTCTTCTCAACAACCCTATGGGGCATAAATTGCCCCATGTTAGAGAGGGGGCAGCTGGGGCTCAGAGATGTGAAGACATTGGCCCAAGGTCAAACAGCAAGTTAGGAGTCAAGCCTGGATGTGAAGTTGAATTTGTCTGATTCCTAAGACTATTTTTAACTGCTGTGCAGTAAGATTCCAGTAACCAGGGATTTTAATTTTTTAAAATTTTTTATTGTTATGTTAATCACCATACATTACATCATTAGTTTTTTTTTTTTTTAAAGATTTTATTTATTTATTTGAGAGAGAGCACATGAGAGTGGGGAGGGTCAGAGGGAGAAGCAGACTCCCCGCCGAGCAGGGAACCTGATGCGGGACTCGATCCAGGGACTCCAGGATCATGACCTGAGCCGAAGGCAGTCGCTTAACCAACTGAGCCACCCAGGCGCCCCACATCATTAGTTTTTGATGTAGTGTTCCATGATTCATTGTTTGTGCATAACATCCAGTGCTCCATGCAGAACGTGCCCTCTTTAATACCCATCACCAGGCTAACCCATCCTCCCACCCCCCTCCCCTCTAGAACCCTCAGTTTGTTTTTCAGAGGATTTTATTTATTTATTTAAAGATTTTATTTATGTGTTTGACAGCGAGAGACACAGCGAGAGAGGGAACACAAGCAGGGGGAGTGGGAGAAGCAGGCTTCCCGCCAAACAGGGAGCCCAATGCGGGGCTTGATCCCAGGCCCCTGGGATCATGACCTGAGCCGAAGGCAGACGCTCAACAACTGAGCCACCCAGGCGCCCCTTCAGAGGATTTTAAAGCCTCTTTAGCCTTGACTATCTCAAAGCAACAGGGCCTCAAATGATAACAACAATAATGATTTACAGCTTAGTAAGAGTGTATGCCAAGAGCTTTAGCCACATGATATCATTAAACACTCATTGAAATGGACATTATTATCCCCATTTTCCAGATGAGGAAACTGTGGATCGGAGGGAAATGATTTGCCCAAGGTCACATGGTGAATCTGGCCAAAGCAGAACCTGAACTTTCGTCCTTTTTTTTTTTTTTTTTATGAGAGAAAGCACAAGAGGTGGGTGGAGGGAAAGAGGGAGAGAGGGAGAGAGAGAAGCTTAAGCAGGCTTCATACCCAGCACAGAGCCCAATGCAGGGCTTGATCCATGACCCTGAGATCATGACCTGAGCTGAAATCAAGAGTCAGATGCTTAGCCATCTGAGCCACCCAGGCACCCCTGAACTTGGGTCCTTCTGATTTCGGAGTCCTAATCTCTGCCCGTGGCATGTCCATTCTAGAGGGGACAGAGAGACAGTGAACAAATAAACTAATAAATGAACAAGATCTTTAGAGAATTCTCGTGACCTGGTAGAACATAACCAGAGGGCTGGAGGTGATTTTAGATCTTGTGATCAGCCATGACATTTTGAGCTGGGCCCTCAGAGGGGTTGAGAAGGAGCCAGCCACAGGCAAGAAGCACAGCTGAGGCAGAAAAGAGCTTGCTATGTTCCCCCAAATTGTCCCCACTCAATAATAGTAGCGCACAAGTACTGTTTGACCCACTTCATAAATCATAACTCACTAGACTCTCACAACACTCCTAGGAGGTAGCTGCTGTGTTAGATGCTATGATCGCGTCCATTTTACTGATAGGGAAACTGAGGCACAGAGAGGGTTACTTGCCAAAGGGCAGGTCAGCTTTGACTCCAGGCAGTCCAGCTTGGACCACATACAGCCTATGAAGAGGAAGTGAAGCCTAGAGAAGTATCATCACTTGCCTGAGGGCACAGAGCAATACATAATTTTTTTTCCATTAACTTATTTTGGTATAGAACACATTTGCCTTTCCACCATTTGATCCTCAGCACCTGGCTCATGGGACATGCTCAGTTTCTATTCACTAGACCCAACAGAGTATCTAATGTTGTCAGCCAGCACGTCTTACACTCTGGGCTCAACATCCCTCTTAAAAACTGTTAGGGATCCCAAAGAGCTTCTTGTTGTTGTTGTTGTTGTTTGTGAGTTGTATCTATCAATATTTACTACGTTGGAAACTGATACTGAGAAATGTAAAAATATTAAGTCATTTTAAGATCGCAATCATAAGCCTGGCTAGGTAAGATTTACTAAACATATGCCTCCCTGAAAAAAAATAAATAAATAAAATCACAGTCATAACCCCAGGATGTTAACGTCACAATGTATTTTTTTAAATGAAAAATAACTACTTTTCAACACAAAAAATGTAGCGAGAAGAGTGGCTTTGTGTTGCATTTTTGCAGATCTCTTTGCTGTCTGGTTGAGGAGAAGGCAGCCAAGTTCTCGGGTCTGTTCCTGCGTTCAGTCTTGGTCATGCAGCCTCTGAGAATTACACGGGACTCTGGGGACGGAATAGGAGAGAAAAGGCAAATAGCATCTTAGCGTTATTATAAAGATAGTTTTGACCTCGCTCAGATTACATTTTGAGAACTGCTGCTCTAAGCAAGTGTGCCTTGTAGGGTTTTATTTTACATAGGCAGAAAGTGGGGCTCAGTGAGATAAAGTGACTTTCCAAAGTCACACAGCGGCCGGGTTCTATCTCAGGTCGGTGGGCCCCCCAGGCCCGGGAGGAGTCCCCGTCCTCCTCAAAGCCGCCCTCCTTACCCCCACCCCCACCCCCGGCAGGTGGAACCGCATCGTGGAGCTGGTGGAACAGCGCAAAGAGGAGGTGAGCGCAGTGCTGCTGGTGGAGAACCACGTGCTGGAGGTGGCCGAAGTGCGCGCGCAGGTGCGCGAGAAGCGGAGGGCCGTGGAGAGCGCGCCCCGAGCGGGCGGCGCCCTGCAGTGGCGCCTGAGCGGCCTGGAGGCGGCCCTGCAAGCGCTGGAGCCCCGCCAGGCGGCCCTCCAGGAGGAGGCCGCCCTGCTGGCTGTGCGCTTCCCGGCTCAGGCGGCGCGGCTGCACCAGGGTGCGGAAGAACTGGGCGCCGAGTGGGGCGCGCTGGAGAGCGCCGCCCAGGCCTGTGGCGAGGCGGTGGCCGCGGCCGGGCGCCTGCAGCGCTTCCTGCACGACCTGGACGCTTTCTTGGACTGGCTGGTGCGCGCCCAGGAGGCGGCGGGCGGCGTCGAGGGGCCCCTGCCCGGCAGCCTGGAAGAGGCGGATGCGCTGCTGGCTCGCCACGCCGCGCTCAAGGAGGAAGTGGACCAGCGTGAGGAGGACTACGCGCGCATCGTGGCAGCTAGCGAGGCACTGCTGGCGGCCGACGGCGCCGAGCTGGGCCCGGGCCTGGCGCTCGACGAGTGGCTGCCGCACCTCGAACTTGGCTGGCACAAGCTGCTCGGCCTGTGGGAGGCGCGCAGGGAGGCCCTGGTGCAGGCACACGTCTACCAGCTCTTTCTGCGCGACCTGCGCCAGGCTCGCGCGGTGCTCCGCAACCAGGTGGCCGCCTCGGGGTTCACGCGGTGGGGGTTTGAGGCCGCGGGGGCTCGCGGCGACAGGGAAATGTATGGAGGAGTGTTTGCAGGGACCACCGGGTTCGTGGCTCATCTGAGGTCAGTGGGGTGGGGAGGGTATGTGGTATGGATCGCGGGTTTGTGGATCATCCGCGGTGAACATGTGTGGGCGTGTGCGTAACAGCATTGGAGGATTATGATGGGCGTACTGGTGTTTTATCTAAGGCGGCTGACAGTTTGTGGAGTATCCCAAGTGAGTAAGGCACTTGGATATACGTTGCAGTGACTTCCCGGGTTTGTGAATTGTCTGGAAGGAAATAAGAGCGCGAAGTTGATTGGTGATGGTTAATGGAGTTCAAAGATCTTGGGGTGGATGATGGAGGGTAAAGATCATGGAAATAGGTAATTCAGGCCCAGAGGTTATCTGGATCAGCAACTGCTTGTGGCTTATGTGGTTGTGGGTGCTCAAATGAGCAGATAATCTTACTGGGAATGGCAATTTGCATGCCCTCTGGAGAGGGGCACTGTTTATGGTTTGAGAAATCAAGTGAAGTGCCATGGTTATCTGGGAACAGCTGATCCATTTGGAGGTCATTCTGGGATGGGAAGCAAGTTTGGGGATTTGGACAAGGTAGAACATCCCGTTCTCAGATTGTCCAAGAGTAGCTAGCAAGCTTTAGAGATCATTTTAGAAAGGGTGACCCGGTTTAGAAAGCTCACCCGGTTTGAGGATTATCTGGGGGAGAACAGACAGGGAGCCTCTGGAATTCTGAGGCTACTGAATATGGGAGCGGAGGGGGACTTAAGAGAACCTTTCTGGACCCCCCCCATTTTACCAGTTAGAAAACTAACCCCAGAGAGGGAAAGAACTTCCTTGAGGTCACCCAGCACCCAGTTCAGGCTTCATGGATTAACGAGATATTTACCGAATGCCTTCTCTGCGCCAGGCACTAGTCTTAGGAAACAAAACACCAAATCCCACCTTCATGCAGCTGCCTTTCATGTGTGTGCGTCTGTGTGGGTGTGGGTGTGTGTGTGTGTAGAGGGGGAGAAAATGATAAACAAGTAAATGCATACAAAAATAATGTCAGGTATACGCTATGAAAAATAATAAAGCAGGATGAAGGGATATAGCTGGGGGTGGAGGGTGGTATTTTTTGGCGGATATTCAGAGACCTGAAGAAAGTGAAGGAGCCAAGCACGGGGTTATCTGGGGGGAGGGACTGCCAGGCAGAGGGCCTAGCATGGGCAAAGGCCCGGAGGTGGGATCCTGCCTGGCATGTTCGATGCTAGAGCACAGTGAGCAAGGGGGAGGACAGAGGGAGGCGGCAAGCCCAGCGGGCAGCGTCTCCCAGGTTCTGGAACGGAGCATGGCTGAGCTGAGCCCCACCCCTCCCCCCTCCCCCCCCAGGAGATGGCACTGTCGGGGCCGGAGCTCCCGGGCACGGTGGAGACAGTGGAGGAGGCGCTGAAAAGACACAGGGATTTTCTCACCACGATGGAGCTGAACCAACAAAAGATGCAGGTGGCCGTGCAGGCTGCCGAGGGCCTGCTGAGGCAGGGCAACGCCTATGGGGAGCAGGCCCAGGAGGCTGTGACCCGGCTGCTGGAGAAGTAGGTCCCTCAGACCCCAGGGGCACAGGGGAGGGATGAAGCGGCCAGGGCTCCTCCCTTTCCATCCCGATTTCCGCTTCTCTGCCCCTCTCTGGTTTCTCTTTAATTCCATACTGGTTTAGATTTGATTTAACTTGGTGTTTCGTGAAAAGGTAACTAACTGGTGGTCAGAAACCCAAAAGATACAGAAGGATATGCAGTGAAGTTTCTCTGCCAGGCTGGCCCTCAGCCTAGGGTAGTTGGACGGGTGGTGAAAATGTTAACTTCGTTTCCTCAGTGCCCTGCCTCCGCCCTGCTGTGCTGGTCCCCAGATCCAGCAGCTGAAGGCCGGACACAGGTTCTGTTCCTGCTTTCCAGACGGGATGACGTGCCCTGCCATACTGGGTTTTTGGATATGGTGAATGAGCCCCTCCGGCAGGCCCCGGCGGCCAGGTTCCCCAGGAAGCTCGCAGAGTGTGTGTGTTTGTGTGTTCCTTTCATGCTTCCCTTGCACATTATCGGCCACCATCTGTCTCTCACCACTATCCTGTCTCTTGTCTGTCCTTGCACTAATTGGGCAAAGACGTTGACTGAGTATCCACTGTGTGCCAGGCACTCTTCTAGGCTCCGAACAAAACACTTCCCCCTACCCCCCCCCAAAAAAATCCCAGCCCTCAAGTAGAGTCTTTCATAGGGGCTCCTCCAGGCTGATTTCTATCATAGATGTTTCTGCCCCTTGTGGTGAGTCAGTGAGGGCCCAGTGCCCCTCCTTCTGTGCTTCCATCCAAAGCATGCCTGGTCACTCCACCACCATCTACAGCCTGGAGACCCCAGCCCTTCCTCTGTCTGGGGCTCAGGTGTCCTTTTCCCCTAAATTCATCTGGGACAAGGCTGGAATTTTCTAAGGGAAACTTTCATGGGGATTCTGGTCCTGAGGGTGTAAACTCATGATCTAGGGCTCCCAGTGCCAGGCCTGGACCTGCCCTTCCTTTACCCCACATTTCTTTTTTTTTTTTTTAAGATTTTATTTATTTATTTGAGAGAGAGTGAGAGAGAGAGAAAGAGCACAAGCAGGGGGTAGGGGCAGAGGGAGAGGGAGAAGCAGACTCCCCGATGAGCAGGGAGCCTGATGCGGGGCTTGATCCCAGGACCCCGGGATCATGACCTGAGCTGAAGGCAGACACTTAACCAACTGAGCCACCCAGGCGCCCTAGCCCACACTTCCTGAGCACCTGCTTGCTGTATGCCAGGCTCTGCAGAAGGAAGAGGTGGGGCCTGGGGGACTGCCCATTCTCTGATTTTCCTCTTCCTTCCTTCCTTTTCTGTCATTAATTGCTCCCTTCATTCTATCATTTATTCAGCTAATTAAACAGGTACTGGGTCCATGTCCCGTTCCAGGCCCTATGGAGGAAAATGCTGGGCATGCACCAGTGACCAGGACAGTACACAATTCCTGCCCTCACAGAGCTCACATGCGGTCTGACAAGGGCAGCCTGGAATGGTCAGGACTGGGATGGGAGAAATACAGGGGGTTGAGGGAGCCCCGAGGGGGCATCTGCCATAGGCTTGTGCTGGATGAGGCTGGGAACACACCAGGAACCGAGACCAGTCCCAATCCCCACCCCGCCTCACCCTCAGGCTGCAGTTCATTTGTCTAGGGACAAGTTTCCTACCCGCCAGAAGTCATAAAACATCCATTTGCTGGGGCCTGCGGCTCTACCCCTCACCCCGGAAGATGCAGGGCGGAAGATGCAGGGCGAGTCACTTAGTTCCTCCCTGTGTCTCAACTCACCTGAAACCTGGACCCTTCCTGTGTGTGTGAACTGCTTGACTTACCCAGGGTCACAGCCAGGAAGTGACCCAGCCCGGATATGAAGGATGTGACCTCTGTTGTTTTCTTGCCCTCCGGGAAAAGAGGGATTTTCCTCATTCCTAGGAATGATGTTTGCAGGTTGGCTGGTAAAGACCTGTAGGGATTATGTCAGTTCAATTTCTGAGGCATTTCCTATTTCCTGGCTCCTGAGCTGAGTCTGGGCAGAAGGGAGTTAGTATTTTGCTTGTCTCTGAGTTGTCCTGTTCCTCTTTCCAGCTGCGCCCCTGGTTCTCAGTGACTTTTCTCTCCCTCTTTGCCTCCGTTTATCTGTGTATCTCTGTGTCTCTGTTTCCTTCTGTGTCTCTCTCTGTTTTTCTCTCCCTCCATCTGCATTTCTCTGACTCCGTGTTCTCTTCTGCTCCTTTCTCTGTCTTTCCAGAGACTTTACCTTTGTTTCTGTCATCTCTCTTTCTCTCTGCCTTATGTCTCATTCATTCATTTGTTCATTCATTCATTCAAGAAATGTATATTGAGCACCTGATGTGTGTGAGGCTCTTTATCTAGGCATTGGTGATACATCTGTGACCAAAACAGAATTCCTGCCCTCATGGAATGACATCCTAGTGGGGGAGACAGACAAGATAAATAAGTAACATACAGCGTTAGATAGTGCTAAGTGCGAGAGAGAAAATTAAAGAAGAAAAGAAAGCCAGAAAGTATTGGAGAGCGATCAGGAGGGGCCTCACTAAGAAGGTGGTATTTAAGTAGATGTTGGGGGGGCAGGAAGAGCATTCGGGCCAGAGGGAGCTGCCAGTGCCAAGGCCCTGAGGTGGGAATGGCTTGTTCAAGGCAAAGGAAAATGGGATGTCCCCAGCCCCCCCTCCACCAGGACTTCTGGGCACTTTGTACTGTGGGCAGGAGGCCAGGCTGCCTGGGGCTGTGGCCCCTGCTGGCTCCAGGGTGGCGGGGCTTGGGTCCAGCCCGGCCCGTTCACTCAGGCCAAAGGTCTAGCCCTGCTTACCAGTGCACCTGCGTACCCTCTGATGTGGCTCTAGCCCCATCTTTGCCCACGCCCACTCTCTTCCCTTTCTCCAGCTCTGCTGCACCCTCCCATCTGGCTAGCTGTGTCTTTTACTCTGATATCATCTTGCCACCTCTCTGCCCTTCCCTCTCCCCATTGTCCCTGCCCCAACTCTGTCACCTTCCCTCCCTCTGCCTCCTCCTCTCTCTCTTCTTGTCCACTGCTCTTTGTCTGTCTGTCTGTCACTACCCTGCTGCATTTCTTTACTTGTCTTTCCTTATTTCTTCTCTCCCTGGGTTTCCTTCTCTTTGTCTGTCTGGGGGTCTCTGTCAATCACTTCCTCTTGAGGTCTGTTTCTCCCTGTCTCTGGTCTTGTGTCTGTGTGTTTTTCTCTCTCTCTCTCTGTAGGCCTCTGCACCTCTCTCTCTCTTTCTCTCTGAGTCTGTCTCCCCCTCCTCTCTCTCTAGATGTCTCCTGATCTCTAAGTTAACTGTCTCTTGGTATCTCTACTCTGCAAGTCTCTTATCTCTCTGGGCTTGTGTCTCTCTGTCACTCTTTCTAAGTGTATTTCTTTCCAGGTCTCTGTCTCTGTCCCTCCCTCTCCCATACTCTCTCTCTTGCTCTTTCCCTCTCCTTCTGCCCCTTTCCAGCTCATCCCTGGCTCTGCCCTCACTGATGTTTCTTTGCTTCTCCCCCCAACCCCACCCTACTTTCTCCTCGTCCTCACTCTTACATATGCCCCGGGTTCCTAGCCTTGCCAAGCCCGATGCCTGCACAGCCCTCCTGCCAGTGCCCCCCCCCTCCAGGCTTGCCCCAGCCCCTATCTCCCCATCCCCAGGAGCCAAGAAAACCAACTACGGGCCCAGCAATGGATGCAGAAGCTACACGACCAACTTGAGCTGCAGCACTTCCTCCGAGACTGCCACGAGGTAGGAACTCCAGCTGTGCTGGGCGCGGTGACTTCTTTCCTAGGGAGGGAAGTGCTCCAGGGCTGAGGCGCCATGGGGGCGGGGACGCCCCGTCTAAGTGGGTCGTGCAGCGATGTGCATTCGGAGCCGCCAGGAGGCGCGCGGATTCCAGCCTCAGTGCGCAAGCTCCGCAGCTCCCGCCTCCTGTCTCGCGGGGGGGGGGTAGGGAGGGGCCCTGGGCACCCCTGGCAACGGCGCGCGTTCGCGCCTACGGATCCCGCGGGGACGCGCGGTGATCTCACCTTTCTCTCAGGAGATTTGTGAGAAGCGCCTTGCTGGGGAGAGTGGTGGGGAAGACTGGCAGGGGCGGGGGGAGGGGGGAGCGCAGGCGTGGGTAGACCAGCTGCCCAGAACGCAACTTTGGTTAGAGACGGTCCAGAAGCAATCCTTCACCCCTTTAAAAGTGTCCAGGAATCAAGCTCTACCCCTTTAGAGATGATCTACACATCTGTAAGGATCGCCCCAAATCAGAGATGGTTCAGGATCCCCTCCCCATTAGAGACGGTTCAGGAGGCATGCTACCTCCCCCTCCTTCCCCTGTATTCCATAGAAACTGTTTTGGACCACATAAAAGATCGCCCCATTAGAGATGACCCAAGAAACATTTTCCTAACCCCCAAAGATGATCCCGGCCTCATCCATCTACCCAGGATCATCACCACCCCCTCCAAAATGATCCAGTGCCTAAGTTTCCCCCAAACAAAGATGGTTCAGGAACCAGGCCCCAATTTCTCCTATTAAAGATGATTTGACACCCTCCACGGTGACCCGCCACGGGAGATTGTTCTCTCCACATATGACATGGACAAGGGCCTCCATACCTCCCACCTCCACATAACTCAAGCCCGTTAGAGATGGGTCTGGGACTCAAGCCCACTAGAGATGGGTCTACGAACACGCTGTCTCCCTCCTCCCCAATGGAGATTGTTCTGGCAGTGCATCTTATAAGTCCATCTGGCAGAACATTTTATGAGATATTCCAGGACCCCTCCTATATCCCCTGTCTATATTCCTGAGATAGCCAGGAATCTGAGTCCCTTCTCATTAGAGATGGTTCAGGAGCCCACCCCACCCCCACCCCGTACTTCACAAAGCTGAGGTAGCCCAGGCCCCAGGCCCTCCCTCCTGCCCTTCGATTAGGTCCAGGAGCTCCTTCTCCCTCTTGTAAGATTGTTCTGGACCAAGTAGCAATAATCTGAGATGGCGCAGAACCACTCCCCCACACCCCCCATGCTCCTCAACCCCCCCAGCTGAGGCCCGGCAAGGAGGCGGGCACGGAGGCAGGCAGGGGGCGCGCGCGGGCGGGCGCGCTGCCGCGGCGCGGGGG